CTTAGAAGTGTTTGGAGGTGAAAGGAGCCAGTGATTTCCTCATTCACTACCAAACTGGCCCAGTAGATGAGACAGAATGAGATGTCAGTCCCTAATCCTGGAGTAAAAAAAAATAATAAAATGGTTCAGTGAATGGCTCATTGTTAAAAGCGCATGAAGTCGTGTTCCTGTCTGCAAGGTAAGGGTTTCACTGATCCCTTTGGCAGCATTGCCTTTCTTGGTTTTGTTTCTGGGTGGGGGGGAGGTGTTTTGGTTTTGGTTTTGTGTTTGAAAGGGAAACCCTGTTTCCTGATAGTGATGGTGAAGTTTCAGCAGTGACACTTTTACCTGTCCCCTTAATCCAGTGCAGCTCCTTGGCAGGGTCCTGTGGGGACTTCAGCTGCCTCTGCTCCCAGCTGTGGGAGCTGGTGCCATCCCTGGGGCTGGGGACTGTCACCAAAGGCTGAAGCCTGGGGGCTCCAGGGCTGCTCTGTTTGTTTTCCAAGGCCTCAGGGCTGGAATCCAGGTGGAGGTGGTGAAAGTCTGCACGGACTGATGTTGTAGCTGACGAGAGGAGTAGGACTCACCACATTTTGGCTACTGAAGCTGCAGGTTTTTAACCAGATGGAAAGCCCAGGAGTCCCTTCCTGTGCTGTGGTGTGTGCCCAAGAGAGCCTGGCCAAATGGGCACGGTGTTTTCAGCCAGTGGAACTTGCAAGAAGCTTTTAGAGGCTGCCCTTCATCTCAGCTACTTTCTGCTCTCCTCTCTGCTTCTCTCTGAACTTCCCTCAGCTCTAGGACTGGTTTTTGACTCCCAGCTGTGGAACCCAGGTCTCCTCACCGTTCCTGAGGTGCCTTTGCTGGTGGTGTGCTGCTGGGGGGCTGCAGTGCCAGCTGTGGCTGAATGTGGTGACATGGGATTGTCACACTGCTCAGCAGCATTGCAGAGAACTGACCTCATGGCTCCCCACCATCCCAGACAGTCTTCCTTCTGCTTAAAATCTGTCAGAACTCACAGCTTCTTCTTCCTCTATTAATTCCTACTTCTGACTCAGCAAAATTATTTGTCCACCTCCCATGCAGCTCATGGCTTCAGAACCAGTGTGCACACCACACTCCCACACTGGGAAAATGCACAATTCCCTGCACTGAGGCACTCAAGGCTACCAGATGTTTTCCTAAAGCAAGTTCTTTATTAGCTTTTGAGGGTGGGGCTTGGCTTTTTTCTTTTCCCCAACTGAAAAGCTGAGAAAAAGCTTCAGCACTTTTTACATTGAGAATTTCAAGGGGGAAAAAGCCTCCTGTCTGATGCCAAAGTTAAACTCTAATCACTGCTCAGCTCTCCTGGAATTTGGCAGCATACCAGTGCTCCTTCCCCTTGGAAGGTCACGTGGAAATACCGGAGCCTTTTCTTAAAGAACCTCTCAGCTCTTTTCAGGTACTTGCACAGATGTAACTTTCCTGTTAGGATTCTAATGCCTTTTATACTCTTGACTACGTTAAAGCACCATTCCTAATAAGCACCATTCAGATCTACAAATATTATGTTTGAGCATTAAAATACTTTTAAGTGTGTTTAAACTACATAAATGGACTTTAAAATCTGGTTTTAAATTGATATTCCAATTCTACTGGAATAGAATCACAGTTTTAATCTTGGAAATAGCACTTAAATGTGCTTAATGAAAAGAACCCAAAATTGGTTCACAAGTTTATGAGAGGTTGTAGGAACAGCTGAGATGAAGGTTGAGAGATGAAGGTCTCTTTGTTCAGTTTGTTCACTGAGAATATTTAAGATTCTCTTTCAACTGCTTTTTGCACCTAACTCACCAGCTGGTTTTAATTTATGACCAGTGTCCTGGAGATTCCTTCTGATGGGGAGTTTTTAATTCTGTCAAAGCTGACCCAACTGTTCTGTAACAATCAAATCATTTAATCATACAGTGTCTATGAACAGCATACTTGGTTTTTCCCTCAGTGCTGCTTCTTCCTTGTTTTCACTCTTCCGTCCCATTTTAGCTGGATGTGAAGAGCTCAGTGATTAATTCCCTGATGTGATTAGCTCGATACTATGGTGGTGTCTTGAGTGCTGAGGAGTGACCCAGTTTCCCATTTTCCTGGTCCCCCGAGCAGGCACACAATGGAATGGCAGGCTGTGCTGGAAACTCGCACAGCCGAAGTTATCTGAGAGCGATCTGATCCGCGGGGATGAATGCAGTGACCTTTTTCCTGGATCACTCCTTCTATTTACATATTAAACGCAGACTTTTTTTTTTTTTTTCCTTCCCGTGCTGCAGAGCTGAAAAGGTGCCGTATCAGGCAAGAATGTGTGTAAAGGATTCCTTTGTTAAATGCTGGCAGCAGCCTCAGCCAGCCTTGCCAAGTCAGTCCAGCCCACCCACCCATCCAGGAGCAGCCAGGGATGCGAGCACAGCCTGGGCTGGGTGTGGGCTCTCCTGGCTGGGCTGTGCCCTGGGAGCTGGGACACTCAGGGGCTGGGACGGACACTCAGGAGCTGCCCTGGGAGCTGGGACACGCACGCACACTGGGGCCAGCCCTCCTCTTGCCCCAGAACACCTTGCTGGAGCAGAACTCTCTCCCTGTGCTCTCCCTTCCCTGGGAATTGGCTGCCCAAAGCCAGACAGGTTCGGTGGGTCTGCACCTCCCAGCACCCCCAAACTGTTCTCATGATTTAAATACATTTACACTTCATGTTCTCCATGCCAGGGGAGAAGGAAGTTATTAAGAAGTTTGCAGAAGGGTGTGCTGGAGGAACTAAGCAAACAGCCAGAATAAAGATCTCCTACCACCTCACCTTTTGCTAAACCACTCAACCATCTTCCCCCTTTGTCCTTCTTCAACACACCTTTAGATTCTCTTTCAACACACGGATGTGTTTTGGTTAGAATTGCTGAAGATTGACCAAAATAATACTCACTGAATGTTTCAGAAATGTTTTCCTTGCTTTGCTCAGGACAGTTTTCCAGAACTGCAACAGCAGTCCTTCAAAATAAAGGTTAAATGTCTCTTCAGGTAAATATGCTTAACTTGTGTTCCTGAAACAGCCATGGAGCCTTCAGTTGCAATCAGAGATGCTCTCCTAAATGACAACCACATATTGTGAGAGTTCTAATTTCTATAACTCCCTAGAGTTATACAAGAACTGAGATAAGAGACTGTAAACACCTAGCCAGCCCTGTGCCACAGTGGGATTTTCCCCTTACATGATTTCCTACTGTTAGGCCAGGTTCATGTGACCTAAGCAAGAGTTACCCTCGGGTTTCTCCATGCTTTACTCATGTTTTATTTTTTTGTTTCCCTGCTGCTCACCCTTCACCAAAGGGCAATGACTTTGTTTTACACATCTTCCAATTCTCTCTTTACCTTGCTTGAGAATACAGCCTCACCCTGCTGCTCAGGGTGTAGTGGAAGGACTTTGCACAGTCAGCTGCAGCTCCAGTTAACCAAGCTGCCACTGTTAGTGGTGAACAAACCCCTGACTCTTTCCCTGGCTCTCTCTCCTTGCCCCTCCTTCTTTGGAGGTGTTTATCCAGAGGCAAAACGAAAGAAGAAAAATATCTTGAAATTAAAAATCACGTGTACACGGTAGAACCTATGAAAAGAGGGAACAAAGGAGTTTCAAGGGAACTGAAAGGGTGACAGGAGCAGTTACCTGTGTGTCCACCTCTGTGTATACACACAGGTAACTGGAAAAGAAATCTCCAGGTGGATAATTCACAGTATTTGTGGAAAACAGAAGAACTGTGGCAGTTAGACTCTTGGAGGCCAGAGGAAGATGCTAGAATTGTTAATGTGCTAAAGTCCTGTAATGTGGAACAGGTGACAGTGTAAACTATCAGTGACAAGAACAGCAGGAGCACGGCTCTGTCAGAGCCTGGCTGATAACCAAGGCAGATCACAGGATGCGACACGGAACAACTGAACTGCACCATGGTGCACAGCAGTACGGCTGTGTTAAAAAAATAACTCAGTTGCGTTTCCCTCACCTGGACTTGCCAGGCTATGTTGCAATTTTTCCTTATTTGTCGTGACATAGCACAAGGAAAAGCACCCTCAAAACCTGATTCAGAGCCAGTCAAGGCTACCTTGGAAAACGTCACTGTTTCGAAAGACACCACTGGTGGAAGAACGGCGCGGAGGTTTCCGCTGCCGGAGCCGCTCGGGCGCAGTGTCAGCGCGGGGCTCGGCCGTGAGCCCGGGGCAGAGCCCGGAGCCTGCTCCGAGCCCGGCCCGCGGGGGCCGAGCTGGGGCCGTGAGCGCACCTCGGAGCCAGGAGCGGCCGCAGAAAGCGGAGCGGCCGCGGGCCGGGCGGGGCAGCGGCAGCAGCAGCAGCACAGGCAGCAGCGCGGGCCGGGCGGGCGCGGTGCCCGGGGCAGGTGCGCGGCCCTCCCCGCGGGGCGGGCGCGGCGCAGGCACCGCCCGGCTGCGCGCCCTCCGGGGCGGGCCCTGCCCGCCCTTTCCGCTCCGCGCAGGGGGAGGAGCGGCTGCGGCGGCGCCGCTCGGAGCTGGGCTGCTCTGCCGGGACCGGGACCGGGACCGGGATCGGGATCGGATCGGTACCAGAACCAGAACCGGGATTGGGACCGGCATCGGGATCAGAACCAGGACAGTGGAGCCGGGAGCGCGCCCCCGAGTGGCGGGGCGGGCTGCGGCGCTCAGAGCTGCGCGCCCCCGGCCGGGGCACGGCTCCGCATCGGGACAGCGCCGCTCCGCTCCGCGCGCCCTGCGCGCCTCTCCGCACCGCACCGCGGCAGCGCTCCGCGCCTCCTCGCACCATACCGGGGCAGCGCTCCGCGCCTCTCGACACCGCACCGGGGCAGCGCTCCGCGCCTCTCCGCACGGCAGCGCGGCCCCGCTCCGCGCGATGCTGCCCGGGCGCTCCCCGCACCGCTGCGCCTGAGGCGGGCGCGGGCGGCCATGCAGCCCTCGCTGCTTTAGCTGACCGCGGCGCTCGGCCCGGAGCCCGCGGCCACCCCCCGGCGGCACCGGCAGCACCGGCACCATGAGGAACGGCGATGACCTGGAAGGCTTCGACGGCGAGGCGTCCAGCGCCTCCATGATCTCGGCGGCCAGCAGCCCCTACCAGCCCACCACGGAGCCCGTCAGCCAGCGCCGCGGGCTGGGCGGCCTGCGCTGCGACCTGGACTACCTGCGGGGCACCTTGGGCAGGCTGAAGCTGGCCGAGGTGGTGAGTACCGCGGCGGGGAGCCGGGCGGTGTGAGGGCGGGCCCGGCCGGGCCGTGCGGCGCTGCCGGGGCCGCGGGAGCGCGATCCACCGGGGCCGTGTGCCCAGAGAGCCGCTGCGGGGCCGGCACAGCGCGGCACGGCGGCTCCGTGCCAGCACCGCGCCTTCCGACCCCGCTCACTGCGGCCCGGTGCCCGGGGCAGGCTCCGCCGTTCCTCACGGCGGCCCGGTGCCCGGGGCAGGCTCCCGGCCGTGCCCGGGGCAGGCTCCGCCGTTCCCCCGTGGGACCCGCCCGGTGCCGGGTGCGGAGCTCGCAAAGCCATCGCTCGCCTGGTTTGCCCTTAGCGGGCTGAAGTTCTGCTAAGTGCACCGAGTAGAAAGAAAGAAATCCTTAAAAAACCCCCGAACACCAAAGGTGAGGTTTTGTATTGTGAAATTAAACGTGAGCTGGGTTCGTTCGTGTACTTTGGACACCTGGGCTGGTTCAGTTTGATGGAGCCCGTGCGAGGCTCGGACCACCCCAGCAGTGAAACACGTAATAAACACCGAAGCATTTCAGCAGTTTCTGTGCTGCCAGTGCCTTCATCTGATCTGCTTTCCAAGTCACTATGATATTTATGTTTTTTAAATCAACAAATGTGTTTTTCAGGATCTTAGGAAAAGAGGTGTTTTATGCAAATGGCAATCACCTTGAAATAGATTTTAAAGTAATTTCTTACAGGGTGCTGCAAATTCTTGTAACTTAAACAAGAAGTGTGATGCCAGAAATATTTTATTATTTCACATTTATAACTGGCATTTGAAACCACTGCTGGTTAGTACAAGGCAAAACTTGCGCTTACAGGTTTCATGAAAAACACATTGGAAGTATCCTGGCTTCAGCTGCACACAAGTTTATAGAGGACTCCGGTGATGAATTCATTTTTTATGAATGCCCAGTAAAATCCAGGCTTTGGAAGTGTGATTTGTTTCCATCTCATCTCCTCGGTGCAGGGCAGGATCTGTGCTCTGCAAGTGGTAGCAGTGAGCGTGTGAGCCCAGTAAAACACCAGGGACCAGCAGTGTGTGCGGTGTGTGTGTGTTCAGGACTGGAGCCAAGGGATCTGTCATCGCTGTGCAACATCTACCTGTCTTGGAGCTGTTAAAAACTGTCCGTGTGGTGGAAATCCTGGGCTGGTGCTGCCTGATATGCTGAAATAATCCGCCCTCGGGATTTTTGTTTCAGTTCCTACTGCAGATCCTTTCGGCAGCACGCTAATAACCATGGCAAGTCTTGTTAAAAACTTGTCATTAAAATGACTAATTACTGATGGTAACCGAATCCTTTATTATTAAATCTGACTTGCTTGGAACAAATCCCAAAGGTGCTTGGAGTACACCTCATGAGTTTTTAAGTCATGTAAAGAAAGATGGGGGAAAACCACGCTCTGCTGGTGCTAGAGAGGTTTCCTTGTCCCTGGACAAAGACACAAAGACACTGCTGCTCCAAGTTCGTCCTTGGGGACATTGATACTTGCAGAGCAGTGTTTTGGAGGAGCTGAGCTGTGCTTTGTGCCAGTTTCACAAGAATGATCTGAGATGTTGCATGTGGTTCCCAGGGGTGCATGAATGCAGAGGGGCAGCAGTTAAATAGAAATAAGGTTGGTTAGTGGAGGGTGGAAGGCTGTGCACCACCTCAGCCTGGTTACTTGTACTCAAAAACACTCCTCATTCATGGTAATGGAAGAGCAGACTTCTGACATTTGCAAACCAATGGAAAACTGAGCTGTGTTGGAAAAGAAAGGAGAGAGAGCACATTCCACGGTGTACTTAGGTTGCTTATTTGCCAAGTATAATTATTGCAATTACAATATTCAATAATGCCTTTACAAAAATACTGTAGGAACAGAAATGTAACAAAGTCTGTGGTGTAGAACTCTATCTCTTAAAAACAAGAAGGAACTCCTGGCACTCAAAAAACCATTACAAAAAGGAAAAAGGCAAGTACTGGTTAAGATAAAAGTCTCTAAGTGTATTATAGTAAAAAAGAATGTTACAGGAAAGATTACAATGCATGTGCTTCATTTAGCATCAGGATTTATCTTAAAATACATTTGTGATTGACAGGCAAAATATCAGCTCGAGGCAAACGTTGCTGCTGCTTGTTCTAATCTTTGGTTGAAGGGCTTGCCACAAACTGCCCTGTGGTGCTGAGGGAAGGAAAACTGCTGCTCTTTGTGGCTGCATGGCCCTGCTTCCAAATGCCCATTTTTGACTGTCAAAAGCAGAAGGAACAGGGAATGGGGAAAGCCCCACAACACTGGAAATAGGTAAGGCTCTGTTAATTTGTTGTAGATTTATCTTTCTGGATTCAAATAAAGGAGTTGTTACAGGAGGGAAACCATGATGGCATTGTAGGCATATGGAGCAATCTAAGTGCTGCTAGAGGGGACTATAGTTTTAACTCATTTCAAGACAATATGCCCAAAGTGTCCTTTGGAGGGACATCAATGTAATGGGTTATGATGATGTTTCATGTGTGGTATTGTGCAGCTTATTTCTCAGCCTTGTTCTGGTTTTTGCTAAGTTTAGATTTGGTTGCAGACTGGAAAACTACAATTTGGGGGTTCCCTCTCCTCTTTATGGCCAGTGGTCAGTAATAGCAGTGAGGGAGCAAGGGAAAGGCCCCACGTGGAGCAGCTTAGCATTGAAATGACTTCCCTGATTTTGAGAATGCTATTGCCAGGCTGGTGAGCGTTTCAGAAAGGAAGCCTTTAGCTGTGTGTGTGTTCTGTTGAAATAGCTGTGTGTGTGTGTTGGGATCTGTGAGGGAGCATCCATCCACACTGGGGCTGCAGCTGTGGCCTCCTTGCAGCAGCAGCTTGGAGGAAGGTGGGGAGTGTTGGACCAGGTCAGACAAGGAGTGTGCAGGGCTCCTGACCCCTGAGGGTGTCCCCACACAGCGGGGAAGTGGCACACAAAGGGCATGAAGGGAAACTGAAGGGGATGGTACTTAAGGCAGCTCGGAGCCTTCGTGTTTGCTTTGTGCTTTTGGTTTTGTTCTAAGGGGACTTTGATCTCAAAAGGGAAGTCAAGGAGAAGCCAGTGCATTTGTGTGCTAACCAAAGAAATGTTTTTCCTTTGGAGAGGTCGTCTCCATTGACCTTCTGGCATTTAAAAGGAGCAGTACCTTTTCTCATGGAAGGAGTGAGAGGTGGCCGTCCTTGGAGAGCAGAGCAGGAATGTTCTTTAGAGTTTATTCTCATTTCTTTCTGGCATGAATTTGTTTCTCATGCTTTTGAGGGCTTTAATACTTCCCACAGAGACTGCTGTACGATGATGAAATGGGTATCACTGGAAGACTTTGCTGTGGATGTCCTCAAATGATTAGTTTTATTTCAGTACTTCTCCCCATTCCCTTGAATTTCCTAAGGACAGTCTCTCATGAGCGTGTTGCTGAAAAGAGATGTTTACTGTGGGGAGTCAGGAGGGGCCCATTCGGTCCTGCCAAGGAGATCAGCTGGTTGGGAGGTACCTCCTCTTTGCTGGAAATAGTCTCATTTTAGATGAGACTGTCTGCTTTTTTTCCCACCTCTTCATTTTAGTTTTCAGCTTTTCCAAATCCATTATTATTATTATTTTTCCTTGGTTATTGTAATTCTGCACCTTCAAGTACCTTACTGTCATTAAGGCTGGGCATAGACACATTTCCTACCGAGATTCCCATGGCTGGTCGTGGCTGCCCTTTGCTGCTCGGTGTTTTTGGAGGTGGGCTGCTCATAGGCTTGAAGGGAAGGAAAACCAGGCAGGATCCTGTTGGAAACCTGCTTGGCTCTCACTGTAGCCCTGCCAGGTTTGCACAGGCACCTGATTTAAAGTAACACATGACACCTTTAGCAGCTGGGCCGGTGGGTGTGAGGAATTGTGCCCGATCAGTTCCCGTGGCATGGGCAGCAGATAGGAATGCTTCACCTGGGATCGCAGAGCAGCAGGAGGCAGAAACCCCTCAGCATGTGCTGGCTGGGAGCGTGGATGGCATTTCTGGTGGTTGGCGATGGCTTCTGTGGCTCAGACAGCCCCAGACATTCTTCTCCTCGTGTGCTTGTTCCAAATGCTACAGAAATCCATCAGAGATTCCTTTTAAAGAAGATAATACTTCTGCTTGGGAGGTCTCTGAGCTGGAGGTGCTGATGAGAGCCCTGGGAAGTCTCACTGCTTTCTTGCTCTCGTCTTCTTGTCTGTAGCATTTGATATTGCCAGGGGAGGCAGCAGTTTGAGCTAAATGAAATCTGCTGGGAACAGCAGTTCAGATGTTCATAGTTTTCAGAATAAAAAGTTCTATCTTCATTGGTGGAGAGTAGCTGTGCATTGAAAAAAAGTTGTTTTGTGGCTTACTGTCATTATACATTTCCAGATTCAGAAATGGGTTGCAGAGCCCAGGACTACAGTGAAGCTCAGGGCTGTCAGGTTCTGTTGAGATGAAGAAAACAAAATTCAAAGCCAGGAATGCATGCCTACATGGGTAATAAGACTGTTGAGAATTCTTATTGTTAATTATATTAGCAAATTAAAGTAATAACATTCATGTTCCAAGGAATAAGCTAATTGCTGACTATTAGAATCTGGTTGAAAGCTATTCTGAGGTGTTCATTAATCTGAGGGCCTGTGTGACTTGGCTGCTCCTTTGCCCCTGCAGTGCTCTGGGTGTGATTCCCGACGGGAATGGGTGGCTGGAGCAGGGAGCTGCCATCTGCAATCAGGGAACTTCCACTGGCTCAGTGTGAATGAAGGGAGATGGCTTTGGCACTGGTTGTGGTGGAGTTTGGATTTCTGTCAGTGAGTGTTAACTCAGTTAATGGAGGGCAGTGGGGGGATGTCCTGAGGAGGTCCCACCAGTCCTGGTGGGAAGCACCCGGTGCTCCTGGTGAAAAGCAGAGCACTGCAGGAGACACTCAGAGGGAACTCTCCAGGTCCCTGGCAGCCCTGCTCCTGCCCTTTTTTATTCACAGGTGGTGGTTTCACCT